CTCTCTCTGTGAGTTTTTCAGATTGAAATTGAATCCGCTGCTGATTTTTCAGTTTCTCACTTTTTGTTTTGTTTTTTTCAGAGGTTCTACAATGAACTGATGAATGAAAATGTACGTCTCTGACATGTTTTCTCTCTTTAACCAGTTCTTTCTCGATTTCTCCCGTTTTTTTATCCAGATGGTGAAGCTGCAGGCTTGTATCAAATATTGTGAGGAAGACTATTCTGCAGCCAAGGTGAAGAGTTTTTACATTAAATCTCAGTCAGTCCAGAACCGTTTCATCCGGCAGCTCAGACTGACCCTGCATCTCTCTCTCTCTCTCTCTCAGTCGCTGTTGGAGCAGCTACCGAAGGAAGACCCAGACTACGTCTACAACATGGGCTGTTTGCTCTACCAGGACGGCAAATATGAGGAGGCCTGCAAGAAGTTCATCACAGCCACGCAGCTGCTGGGATTCGTTCCAGGTGATCAGGCAGACGCACACAGAACCAAACCTTCAGTGGACCGAAGAGGCTGGTTTTACTGGACACCGTTTCCAAAATCCAGAGATGTTAACCTGTTTGTTTGCTGTTTGTCTTTCTGTAGAAGCTGTTGTTTTTAACTCTGAGCTGGTTTTAGTTACTTTTCATTACTTCTCCAAACCTTCAGACTCTGTCCTTGGTTCCTAAACTTAACACCTCTTTGTTGACTCTGTGTGTTAGCTTTGTCCTACAACATCGCCCTGACCCACTACAGCATGAAGAACTACAATCAGGCCCTCAAATGCGTCACAGAGATCATCGAAAGAGGAATAAGGGAACATCCAGGTGGGAACAGGCTTTCGTCCGTCTTTACTTTGCTATCCTTCCTTTATAAAAAGCGTTTTCATATGCATCCTCCTGTTTTACCAGAGCTGGACGTGGGGTTAAAAACGGAAGGCATCGATGATCACAGCGTGGGGAACAGTCTGGTCCTGCACCAGTCTGCCCTGATCGAAGCCTTCAACCTCAAAGCAGCCAGCAAGTATCAGCTGAAGAACGGTAACCATCCCAGTCCTGAGGTCATTCCTTTAAAACGGCCGGCATCAGCTGCTGCCGATGACGGCTTCTGAACCAGCAAAGGTTCCCTTCTAATGCTAC